AACGCAGAGGAACGGGCTGGTGTTCATCTACGACATGGCGGGTTCGCAGTACACCAACTTCGAGCTGGACCTCAGCAAGAAGATCCTCAACCTGCTGAAGGTAACAACCCCCAGTGTCCAGGGATGTCACGGTGGCCTCTCGCTCGCCGAGTACACGAAATCCTGTGATTTTTGGCATAAATTTGCATGCTGAGCCATGCTGACCGCCTCTCTGCCGAGGAGCACCAGCTCCAGCCCTGCAGGACCTCGGGAAGATGTTGGGATCATGCCAGGCTGGACCCCGGTGCGTCCCGTGGGTGGGAGGGGATCAGCTGTCCCCATGCCGGATTCCTCTTGCAGCTGCCGGCAGCGCTTTTGGGAAAACAGATGCAAATTATTTTTTAACCGGCCTGGCATTTCGTGCCTCCTCCCTTCTCCGGAAAAGAAAAAAAAGAAATAACAGTAAATATTGGCCGGGGTGTGTTCTCCGCACAAATCCCAGCTCCCAGGCTTCACCCCCCTCCCCACAGAGCCAAACTCTCTGCCCACCTAATTCCAAGGGGATAATTCTTTTCCGTATCGGAGCATAAAAATAAGCGGGGCCGTGCGCGAGGCACCGTTCGGATGTGGCGTTGCCACCTCGGGGTCCCTTTGCCGGCCATCACCTCCGCCAGGATGTGTCCCAAAACGCCCGGCAGAGCGCGGAGAGGGGCTGGTTCGTCTCCAGCGGGGTGGATCTGACCCCCTCCTGCTCGCAGGGTGCCTTCCCGGCTCGGGTCAAGAAGGGTTTCATTGTGGGAGCGCCCATGTGGTTTCGCGTGCCCTACTCCATCATCAGCCTCCTCTGCTGAAGGAGAAGCTGCGGGAGCGGGTGAGTGCAGGTCCCCCCTGGCAACGGGACCCTTGGCAGGGGAGGGCTGAGGGTGTTTTTGGAAGGTGCTGAGCCCGAATCCACGGGAAATGAAGGTTTTCTCAGCTTTTTTCGTAGGGGCTGACCTGTTTTGGTGTTTTTGGCAAACCTCTCGACTCCCTTTTGAAATCCTCTGCCGTTTCTTCCTCTGCGGTCAGGCTGCTGGCAGTGGCGGCGATGGCAGAGGGTCGAAAGGAAAGGAAACCTGCTGAGCACCCAGGAGAAAAGGGAAACTTAAATAAATACCTGTGCTCAGGGCCTGTCTTGGCAAGGCCAAAAGTAGCCCCCCAAAAAATCCCCTCAGCATCAGCGGTGCTGCTCATCGAGCTCGTTTCCAGCCTGATGTCTCCCTGGGCCAGTCTTTGCCCATTTGGAAATTTGGAGCTGGGTATCAGTGTGGGGTACGTGGGGGGTACGTTCACCTGGGTGCCCTCCCCAGGGCAGGGGAGGAAGGGGAGAGACCCCCCATGCTGTTGGGGGGAATCTCTGGGCTCCATCGGGACCGTGCCAGCCCGCTGGCATCCCTGTCCCCATCCCTAGTGAACCCTCTCCATCCTTCCAGGAGTCACCCTCGCTTCTCCTCTTCCTCCTGCAGGTGCAGATGGTGAAAATGTCAGAGCTGAAGGAGCACCTGCCCCGGGAGTGCCTCCCCGAATACCTCGGGGGGTCCCTCAAACTGGACCCTCTGAGCTGGAACTGCCGGTTCCTGCCCCAGCAGAACGGGCACCCCGACCCCCTGGATGAGCTCATCCTGGTGCCGCTGGTGGCCCCCAAAGATAACGGCTCTGTCCACGTTCCCGGGCCCAAGTCCCTCACCCTCCAGGAGCTGCTGGATCACGTCAGCCACAAGCAGAAACGGGGCATCTACGAAGAGTACGAAGATATTCGACGCAGGAGCCCAGCTGGCACCTTCGTCTGCTCTTTGTGAGTCTGGAGGGGGAAGGAACCGGGTCCCCTGTCTTGCTCCAAAAAAGCCGGGTCCCCGTTTCCCCACGCTGTTGCTGCTCGCTGGCAGCCTGGCCACCCCTTTGGGTTGCAGGACTTTGGGTTAGCGATTGCCATCTCCTGCCTAGCGATGCTCCGGGACCCCTTTGCAGCTCCGGTAGCTCTCAGGGGTAGGAGGGAGCCCTGAAGGGGACAGCGGGACGAGGACCTGGCCAGGGCTCCTCTGCCCGAGGCTTTGGCCGGCTGATGGGTGCAGAGCCTGGGCTACGGGCGCCAGAGGCTTGTACAGAGGGAGGGAATGCTGCCTTTTCCTTCCCACCTGGAAAAACATCCCTTTTCCCCCTTTCTCCTTCCTCCCAGGGCCCCCTACAACCAGGAGAAAAACCGGTACGGAGACGTGCCCTGCCTGGACCAAACGCCCGGGTGCAAGGCTGGCGAAGCCGTACAGCCGCCCAGAGGTGAGCCAGCCTGGGATGGGAGCTCGGGCTCCCACGTGAAGCTGATGCAGCCGTCCCGGAGGGGGCTCCGGAGACCTCACGCTGCGCCTGCTTTTCTCTCCCCCCCTGTAGCTCACCGACTACATCAACGCGAGCTTCATGGACGGCTACAAGCAGAGAAACGCCTACATCGGGACTCAGGGTACGGCCCCTGCCCAGCAGGTCCCCCCCTCTCGGGGTGTATTTACTCCTCTCCTGGTTCCCAGCTGGGAGGGAGCAGAGTTTCTCCCAGGAGAGAGCGAATGTGTCCATCTTCCTTCAGCCACCTCCCGCAAACAGGGTCCTGGGCTGAGCAGTGGCAGTGGCAACCCCCACCTCCTGCCCCCAACCCAGCCCCTGGCTTTGTGTCCCCCCACCCCGTCTCCTGCCCCTAACCCAGCCCCTGGCTTTGCCCTGTCTGCCCAGGGATGAAGCAGAAGGGAGCAGAGGGAGGGGATCGGTGCCGTAGGGATTCCGTGCTGGCGAGGGGCAATCGGGGGCAGCTCCAGGCAGGGCTGGTGGATCCATGCTGGGGTCAGTCCATGGGAAGGGGCTGTGGTCGCCCAGGGAGGGTGAAAGGGGCTGGGAGGGGGCGGGGGGGGGGGGGGGGT